TTAATTTTATAATTTTTCCTAGACAGATATAAGGAGTAATGACTAATCTAGGAATTATGTAGACAGTGCTATGTCCCACTTAGGGCATGGGTGTAGTGATAACAAGAGCCCAGCCCTCCAACATGCAACTGAACATACCATTTGTCCTAATAGTTGAGACACTTTGTGTGAGCAAAAAAAAACCAAAAAACAAAAACTTGTTGCATCAATCCCATTGCTTTAGAGTTCATACACCTCATATATTACCTAAAGAAAAAAGGCCATTTAAGATTATTTTTTAATTTAGTAGAATAGTTTAAAAATTTCACCACTGTAATGTTTGCCCAAAATGAGTTAGTCCTAATGGCAACCATGTTCCGGAATCCAAAAGACCCAGAGAGAAAAACACAGTCACACGAACCATTCATCAGTGACAAAGGAGTCGGTAAACTGTTAGAAAACAGAGAGAGCTTGTAATAATGAAAAAAGGACAGAGTTTAGTAACCAATCACTTATTTTCTTTTAAAAACACATAACCACATTAAGTTTTTGCTTTGTACAACCATCTAGAAACTATAAAACAGTACCACATTGTGCATTTAACCTACTTATCAAGAAGGGAACTCCATAAGAATTCTACCCATATAAGGAAAAAGGAGACAGCTAATAGCATAGTCACAGATACAACATGAGTCCAAGCAAGCATCAATTCTTTGATGTCACCTTTTCCATTTACCGGAGTGGAGAGTAAGAAAGACAGCAAGGGAGAAAAAAGAGGGAAAGAAAGAAGCACCCACAGAAGACTAATCACAATCCATAGTTACTTTTGACAACTATAGCTCAGGGTTTCATAGAATAGTATCATTTGACCAACACAGTGTGGTGGGGGGAGGAGGGGTGAAGGAAACACAAGTAGTGGGAGAGGGTTTGAAAAGAAAAATACATTTTCCACCCTAATCTCCTCCTAAATATTCTTCATTGATACAAGCTTCTGTGCTAATCCAGAAAATGGGAAGAAATTAACCATCACAATGTGATAAAGTTTAAGAGTTTTGTTCTCTTTGCAATGGAAATGTGAGTGGCTCGCAATTTTACTTTATAGTTCAAAAGAAGAACGATGTGAACAATTACTCTTTAGGGATTTTCCACAATTTTTCTCCCGACTTCCACCATGCTGGTGTTGCTATAGGACAATCAGGGAATTGTAGGGAGGGACTTCATAGATAATGATCAAAGGACAGTGAGATGGAATCCTTGCTCTTTCTTAGAAGTTCACATCTTTCCAGCAGTATTGCAGTCTTCCCTCTGATTTATGGTGGCGCAGAGGAAAGGGCGTAGGAAGAGCACTAAGGTAATATGGTGGAAGTTTAGTCAAGTAACTGGTTTGAAGGTATACAAGATGAGACTGTGTAAATAGCAGACATACGGAATCCAAGGCAAAGGATAGGTTATCTGATTGTCCTCCTAGGCTGATGGCACCATATAAACAAACTGGTATTTGATTCGGTAATAAAATAAACCAAAGGTTTGCTACAAGGGCACATGCTTCAACTGAAAATTAGTATAATGATTCTCCTCACTTTGGGGGAGTCCCTCACTTCCTCTTCCACCGTAAGTAAGCATATATATTTTGGAAGGCTGTTGTTAAGGGGCAGCTCAGCTCAGTGTCAGAGTTTTGACAATTCATATAAGAAAGCCATTATGAGCCATACCGGTCAGCAGGCTCCTCTCCACTCCCAGGCAAACTTCTTGTATGGCTTAACTTAAGCTCTTGTAAACCCAGTGAGATGCTTTTACTTTTTAATATTCGTGAGTAGAGTGTGGTTAATGCTGGTTAAATTGCTGGCTTGTAACACTGACCAGCATAAATATCTTATGCTATAATACCATCAACTCTGTCCCACGTTACCATGTGCTTTGACATTGTATACAGTACTTAAAATACAATGCAGGAAGCTGGGAGTTTTTAAGGTTTACTATCGAGGCTGACATCTGAAGTGCAGAAATGTATGTGCATTTAAGTAATTTAGAAAATCTTGAACTCTCCTTGTCTTAGCTAATAATCACAAGCAAGAAAAATTTAGATCTATCAAAAAAAATGAACTAAGCAGACAAATTTGATTTGTTCTTTACCTAACTTATTCAAAAGTTCTACCAGAACTTCTGTTCTCTTCACCTGGTCACTATTGATCTTATCTGTAATGACAATGGTTTCTTATTAGATTTGAGAAGAGTATGGTGATTTTGTAGTTGACAGCGCTATGATTCAACATGATTTTTTTTTTTTTAAATCTGAGAGGCTATCTTAATTAAAAGATTCAAATGTTATGTGGTAGGAAGTACTTATTTTTTTGAGAGGCAAATTTCATTCAAACTATTAAAAGAAAACAGTAATAACCTAAAGTCTGTTTAACAGATAAACTGCAATCACTTCAGAGAATCTCAAGTTTCTGAATAAAATACTGCCACGGATGGGTTATTTTCTTAATTCTTTTCCTTAAAATGAGAAATTTTTCTTGTCACTGTTTAGAAAATTGCATTCAGGAATAAAGAACTATTTCCTGAATAATGCAAGGTAACAGAGGAAAAAAGGTAAGAAAATAAAGGCAAGTCTTTCCCAGAAATGTAATAACCACTGAACGGAGAGATGGAGACGCATCACCTCCGTGTCACCAAACTCACATACTTTCCTCACTGGCTTCTGCTGCTAAGGTCCAACGTCTCCTTGCTTTTCTTTGCTATCTCCAAAATTATTTTACTTCTCTTCAACTAAATGTCTGTTAATCTGATGCCTGTATGACTCAGTACTAGTTACTTCTTTGTTTTTGCCTTGCCTTGGTTCACCTATTCAGAAATGGATGAACTGCTTTCTCTAGTTCCTAAGAATATACTTTGGTCAAACCATGCTGGAAAGATACCATATATCAACAAGTTACTTCTGGTAAAAGCTCAGTTAAAATTGCAGAACTCTTGTGTTTAGAATATCGGGAAGTCATTGATCCTAGGGGCTAGGCCCCTCTTTCCTTCTTTAAAGAGTTCATAGAGGTTACTGCTGAGGTGAATGGCGTTTTCCTCTTACACCATTGCTTCTGAAGTTAAGCAGTTTGTCATTTAATCATGACATCACACTCATGACATCAGATTGATTCTAACGGCTGAAAAAAAAGTTGTACATGGGTTTTCAACTACTTTCTAATCTTACACATTACCATCCTAAACTAATTAATGATGATTTAATCTTTGACCGTTTCATTGTCTCTCTGTATGACATGAAATCACCAATTATTCTTTTGTAATGGTACAGGCAGCCTTAGATATAGGTGCTCATTTGTGCATAGAAAATAAACCACTTTTGTTTTCTAACTTCTTTATACACATCAATGCTTTCCATACTATCATAAAATGAAAAATGTATTTTATTCTTTTATTTGTTTTTTTTCCATTCCTTTGAGGAGCACTTTAACTGATATTTAAAATTGAGTGATTCTCAAATAAAAATAAAACTAGAATTTCTAAACCTAAAATTAGATGAAGTTTTACCTCTGGTTAGGTTGCTGCTCCCTTACAATGACTGTGATATTCATTTGTAAGAGTTCTATTGAGAGTTTCAGAGCACAGGAGCCCTCGGTAGAATGTTAGATAGGGCACTGCATTCACAACTGCTGGGACATATACAATTTAGGAGAGAAAAATGTATACTGCCTTTTCTAAAGGAAAAATTTAAATGTATACTTTGTCTCTCAAACTCTTTTGATGAGGAAAATCCCTTTTTGCTCTTTACAGCTTTAAGAAGAACATAAAGCTGTGTGTTTAAATACATATTTAGGCATCTATCATGGCAAGCTCAAAGCTACATAAGCCTCGTTTTTGAATATCCTATGCCAATCAGACAAATGTATCAAAAAAGGAATACATTCTATCATTGTGTTGTGTATGAAAAAATAATACTGATTAGGGTCTAGAATCATAGCAGTTGAAGAAAGACCAAACTGGCCATAGGATACACTGAAGTAAGACCCGGGGGAGTTCAAACGCCAGCAGTCACCTGTAAGATTTTGTGTGTCGTCACACAGATTTGCTAATAGAGAACGAAGCTGACAATTCACATGGCTCTGGATACACATTAGTACCACCAATTTTATTTGCACAAGAAATGACTGGTCCACCAGACTTCTTTATGTAACTCAGTAAGTTACTGCTATTTCTTGACAGACCAGTGATATTTCCCCCATAGTTTTAAAGTATAAAACCCAGAATAGTTAGGCAAAAAAATCCAAAGTATAAATAATGCAACCTTTAATCTACCAAGGGTCACTAAATTGTTACCACTGATTATTATAAATGATTCAATTTATTTAAACTAAAAAAAAAAACAAAAGAATTAAACGTTTCCTCCTCAGTTCTGGGCCAAGGGACACACTTGGCAAAACACAAAAAAAGCAACAGAAGCCAAAAAGTTGTATGATTTTTCAGGGGGAAAAAAAAAAAACTCGATTCAAAAAGGGAACAAATTTGGAAGCTTGTCAGAATAAAGATGGAAGAAACTTCTTTAAAACGAAACTATTTGTCAGTTAACTGATAAAATTTTGGTATTAACAGTAAATTTGGTATAATCTGCCGGAATACGACAGGGATGAGTAGAAACTTGTAACACATGGGAGAAGAGGTGATGACGAAAGGAGTGTATAAAAGGGCAGTAACCACGTTTTTAAAACTAAGCAAGCGGTAATAGCCACCCTTCCACTTATTTATTTGTCTATAATTAAGCTGAAAACAACAGAAATAAATTTACTTTCATGAATCTGTTGATGTTGACTTTGAAATCTTCATCTGGGTAGGGGGGCACTGAAACACACTTATCTTTTTCCTTGGAATTTATATTAATTTTGTTAGATAACCAAATGTTAAATTTAATACCAACCATATTCAAGAAGGTAAAATCCCTATGGTTTTGGGGCTTATTTGGATGATTAAGGAACACAGGGAAGAAATAAGACAAACAAGTGAAAATGGGCACTGTGGATAGATCATAATAGTCTGAAATTTCTAAGAAATATACTTTTTATGTATGACCAAGTTTAGACCCCCGAAATTTTAAAAGCAGGTTTTCTATCATGGGAAGGCATGAAATTAAATGTTCATCTTGAAAACTGCTGGGAGAAATGGCTGCCAAGGTCTTTTGTATCAATGTAATGTGAAAGAGGAAGGATAATTTGTTCCATGCACTCAAAAATACGGTTTCCCCACAACAGACTTTTAATTTGATCAAATTCTGGCTAAAGTGGTTGAGCTCAAAAAACTATCTAATGAGGGTGTAGAGTCTCTGAAATAGCCATCTTCTAATTCAGAGTTAGTAAAGGTTACACTACAATTACCCTACACGCTGGAACATAGTAAGGCATAACTTCAGTTGTTACAGCTGAAATATGGCAAATGTATTCCACATCTGTTCCATAAAAACTTAAAAAAGTATCAGAACCTCTTCTATGAAGTTCAACTGGGGGTACGGAAGTGTGGGGGTGCCTTGTTATGAGAGATGTGCTCAGGACTCTACTGCAGCAGCAACTTAAAAAGTCAGTAATGAAACTTTGGCTTAAAATTAAAAAGAAAGAAAAGAAAAAGTCAAACTGGTGCAAGTTGTCTCCCAAAAAAGGTACGTGGGACTGACTGTCATAAACGTCACCCAACATCAGTGTCCCCTGTCTTCTTTCACGGATACCACCTCCATTGCACAGAAGCCATATCGTTCTCTATGGTTGAGTTTCATAAATAATGAGAAAACTGTATGTAACAAATACATCATGTTTCCCACCCACCCAGCAACCCTCCCCAAAATAAGAAAAGTTACATCAAATTAAAAAGTAGCTTCATGAATGAAGGTACTGCTCTAAGTTGCACTTTTCCTGCAAGTGCGGCCAGTGCCTTTGCGCTGGATATGAAGGAAAGGAAAAAATTCTCCACATAAACTGACAAAAAATTTAAAAACCAATGTCCGGTTTCAACCAGTCAAAACCGGGCCTAGCGGAAGCCGAGCCATCTCGGAACCATCCCATCGCAGGGTCCTTGCAATGCCTGTTCTTCATCTTGATAGGTATCTGTGTCCTTGTGATTGTAAACAATCTGTAAGATACTATGTTTTTGTTCCATCCTCTGATTGGCAAAATGAAGTAAATATTTGTTTTAAAAATAGAAAATTAAAATTAAACCAGAAGAAAAGAAAAGAAACACAGTGAGCTTGTTTGGAGTCCATAGGATCCGATCCGGAAGAGCTCGGAAAATGTGTTATGTGTTTTTCTCCTGTTTTCAGCTGGAAACGTACTAGAGGTTGCGTTGGTCGAGGAAAGAATTGTAGAGTAGGAAAACCAATGATGTTAATCCAGACTTCAGAGAATTCAAGTGTTAGCTTCGTCATCTGTGTCTTCTATCAATACCTTAGTGTCACGAGCCTTGGATCTAGTGGTAATGAGGGGAAAAGAAGAACTTAGTCCATTACTATTAATAAAATACAAACACATTCACAGTATTAGGTACATTTCCAATTTTACCACTATTAAATATACATCCTAAACAGGTACTATCTACTGCACCGGATAGATTATTCCTGGAGTTTCCTATTTAATTTCAGGTATCACTGGAAAAACACTAAGAAACTAGACTGCAACCAGAGAGACGTAACAAGAACAATAGTGGGTCATGGGCAATGGAGAGGGTAGTAACCTGGAATAAGATCTGAGTTTGAGCACTCACTTTGATTTTATCGTGCATTTCTTTAACTTCTTTGAGTGCCTGTTTCCATCTCTGTAAAGCAGGAATAATAATATCTATTTTACCTAATACCACTTTCATCTCAAGGAGACAGTATGTACATCAAATGAGAAAATGGGTGTAAAAAATATCAATAAAGTAGTAAACAAATACAAGGAATGATGTTGAGGATGATAGAAATGATACCATTTGAAGTATGCATGAAAGACGAGGAGAGCTGGCCAGCAGAAGACCTATGGAATGGCATAACAGTTGTTTGTATTTAAACAGTTGACAAAATATAACGCAGAAGAGGGAGGAGACTCATCATAAGTTATGTGAGAGAGCCCAGTTAGGATCAAATGGTTGAAGTTACAGTGAAATTGTTAAGAAACATATTCCAGCCCATCATAAACTATTTACCACTGTAACTATCCAACAATGAAATTAGATGTCTCATAGAGTTATAAACTTCATCAACACTTTTGATTGTCAATTAGCACAACATGATCATCTATCTACTCAGGATGCTGTAGAAGAGATTCCTACATTAGATAAAAAATGAGATCAGGTCATGAAATATTCTGCAATTCGTGAGCCCCGTGAGGTGAAAGTGGTTATTTGGTGAAATAGGAAGTATTATTCCTACTTGACAGAGGTAGAAACTGAAATTCAAAAAGGTTAAGGACATGCTACAAGTTGCATGAGTCCTAAAGTCAGTACTCAAACTTGGATCTTATTTTAGATGCCCTGCTCTCTCTGTTGTACATAAATTGCTCTATTGTAAAGTCTTCCTCTCATTGCAGTCTAGTTCTCTCAGTGTTTTTCCACCTGAAATGGAATGTAATAATCTATTGCCAAAGAGCCTCTGGTTTCTGACACAGAAATAATGTATGTTTAGATTGCCCTCTGCTGGTATCTAACAAGGATTATTAGACTTTCAAAATCAGGAGCTCAATGAGACCACCGACCAAAATTAGCATTTTCTTCCAGCCCTTTGTGATGCTTATCTTGCTGACCCCACTCAGAGCTCCCCTGCCCTAGCTTCTCAAATTCTGCTTCCTTGGGATAATAGAACCATGCTTTGTTTTGATGCTCGTCCTACTGACCTCCCCGACCATTTCTCCCCCTCTTTTGTTTATTTTCTTTTTCTCTCTTGCCTATGTTTGTTCCCTGGGTAAAGTGGTTCAGCCAGGGAACAAGACTCAGTTTCCTGCTCTCTGCTTTTCTTTTCTCTTCTCTACCTTCTCGACTCTTCGGGGAACTTCCAAATCTCTATCTGAAGCTTTGGCAAAATCTATTCTAGTCCCCTATATCTAGTGAGTTACTGTTACCATCATCTGTTTGTTACTTCATTCAAAACGTCTTCTTACATTCCTTTTGGTCCAATTGTGAGCAGTCTATATGAGTTGTCATTGTCCCATGCTTAAATATACTACAATAGCCTTCCAGTTGTTCTTCTGGCCTTCAGTTTTGCCTTTCCTAATACATCTTGCAGAGTGCCATTAAAACTTCCTAGGATACTGCTTTCACAATGTCATTCCTCTATGGAAAAATTCTCTGTGACTCTTCCCTGCCTATAAGATCCAGCTTGCACTTTTCCTTTATAATCACACTTCATTTATTCAGTTAAATTTTCCTCACTATAGTTCTAGTCACATGGTTTTTCTTTCTGCCCCTCATTTCTACCTGCATGATTTTACTGTGCCTCTAGCCTATTCAAACACTCCCTTATCCTTTAGAAAACTGCTCACGTTCAACTTAATTCTCCTCCTTCACTCCAATCTACTGTGCTATCTACTGTCTCTAAATTTCAAATGCAGTCACCATATTTGCACGTTTAGTATAACTTTCAGCAACATACATAGTCATTGACTAATAAAGATACTATTGAAGGTATTTAATAAGATAAAAATAATAACGTATACTTAATGAGCTCTGTGAGGAAACTGGTGTAATAAGTTCCACATAGTAACAAATTTAATCCACTTAATCACTCTATGACCAGGAATGATATTAATCCCAATTTATAGATGAGGGATAATATATAGAAATTAAGTAATTTGGCCAAATACATAAATAGCAGGATTCCTAAAGCTTGTAAGCTAAAAATTATTTGAATACGAGATATACAGAAGAGTCAAATAAATCACTCTCCAACAAATTTTTCTCCAATGCATCTTCAACGCTAAATTATTAATAGCAGGTAATAAATTAATGACATTTACTCCGTATGCTCATTAAGACATTCTATAGGTTGGATCATATGAAATTGCTGTTTATTACTGTTTTTTTGTAGGTGAAAAATGGTTGAATATTGGCAATTTCATTGGTTCAACCTGATAGCTTCTTAGCTTAAATGTTATTCAATGCTAAAACCTAAAAGAAATACGCCTCACAGGGTAGAAGCCATACATACTGAGAAGCAAGGCGAGGCCGGCGCAGGGATATGCTCTGGCTGTACTTCCATGGCCGATTCTTCTGGCGGTTTCGCACCCCATCATCCTGGTCCATCATCTGCTCTAGGAGTGTTTGATCATCTGCATTTAGGGGGGCCACAGAGATGTCCCGCACAGCACGGAATTCACCACAGTTGTTCAGGTGTTCATTCTCCAGGCGGAAGAAGTTCCACACAAATCGCCTTAGCAAAATGGAGTAGATCAAACAAATTATTTACAAAATTTTAACATATTACTACTACTTGTAAATCTCCCAGAATATCAAGTTTCCACTTATGGAAACAAAAACAAAGAATTAAGGGCCAGAATATTAAAATAAAACAGGGAAAGATGGTGCAGAGGTCGGGGAAAGGGAAATAAGAGTGGACTACAAAAAAAGAAGGGACTCATAGAATGCAGTTTTAGGGGGCTCATTCTTTTACTTTGACAAATATCGAATGCCTACTGTAAGGCAGGAAAAGGAATGGAATGAAACAGACAAAGCCTCTGCCCTTATGAGGTGCCATTTCCAGTGGCAGAGACAGATAACAAGCAAGTAAACAGTCAATCAGCTAATGATAAGCACCATGAAGAAGACAAAGCAGGACCAGGAGGTAGAGTATGCTGTCATTAAGACTGATGAGGGAAAGCTTCTCTGAAGAGATGGCAGCTAGCAAAAACCTGAATGATGCAAAGAGGCAAGTCATATAATAATCCTAGAGAGAAGTGTCCCAGGCATTAATAAAAAAAGAGGTCATAGAAATAGATTTATACATTTACAGAAATGTGGCCTATCAAAGGCCAGGTGGATTAATGGCATAATAGGAAAAGCAAAATTTTTTATAAGAATCTATAGGATTGACAGGATAATTTTATAAAATTGTGATAGGGAAGGATTTTTAAAATAAGATATGAATGGCGGAAACCATAAAGAAAAAGATCAGTACATTTTTTTCACAATAAGATTTAAAACATGAAAAAAAATTTGTCTCCATGGACAATGTTCAAAGAGCCGCTGCAGACTGGGAAAAAAAATATTGTCAACACATAATCAGCAAAAAATTATTATACCAAATATATAATTCCTATATTACAACTAGAAAAATATTTATTTTTTCCATATGGATGTCCAATTGACTCAATATCATTTATTGAAGGGTCTTTATTTCTCCACTATTATGCAGCCACTTTTGTCATAAATGAGGCAGTGTCAACGTATGTGTAGATCTGTTTCTGGACTCCCTATCTGGTTCCAGTGGACTATTTGTCCATTCTTTCACCAATGCCATATACTGCCTTACTTTGCCTATACAATTAATCTTGATAGCTGAGTTATAAGTCTTTTAACTTTGTTCTTTTCAGGACAGTCTTGGTCATTCTTGTGTTTCCATATAAATTATAGAACTAGTTTGTCAATTTTCACATACATACATCAATTAGATTTATTCCTAGGTATGTATTTGATATATTCTGATGCTATTCAAAATGACATGGCTTTTAAAATTTTTCTTTTCTGGTCATTGTTACTGGTTTCTTTTTTTTCTTTTCTTTTCTTTTTTTGAGACAGTCTTGCTCTGTTGCTCTGGGTAGAGTGCAGTGGCATCACTGTAGCTCACTGCAACCTCAAACTCCTGGGCTCAGGTGATACCCTTGGCTCAGCCTCCCAAGTAGCTGGGACTATGGGTGTGCAACAACCCCCGGCTAATTTTTCTATT